GGAACATCGGGACAAGTGTAATCGATGATTAGAGACATTGCGTGATGTGACTGAGTGTTGGCGCCATTGTATCTACTCACTATCCTTACAATCCAAGCCTATATGAATTATCTATATTCTGCACTGGACCCTGATCTCAATATTTGGTTGTAAAAACTGTTTACAATTGATGAATCTGAAAAACACCAAATTTTTGGCTAAACATGACGATATTCGCCTTTCATCAGGACGACTAACCACTCGAAAGTGTTCAGCAAACTATCACCACCCCATCTGCTTCAAATCCTGAGAGGATATAGTATAGTATAGTATTGTATTGTATTGTAGGAAGTGTGAACCGTTTCCTGTCGATTCTCTTATAGTTCATTCCATAACAATTTGAAAGGAATAGTTTTGATACAACGGCACTCAGAATTGTAGTCCCAGAAGTACATCGTGCGTGGTTTTCCACTTCAGCCGGGTTTGGGAGAAACGGGACACATTTTACGCTCTTATTGTCCGGCGCACGCTGGTAATGTACATGCACATTTGATGAATGGTCATGTTTATCAAGTAGCTGAATAGTACTCATCAGGACGGTGCTTAATACGAGCGATGCATGAATTCCGACCGCGCGCGCGAGAGAGAGAGATGGAGGAAACACGTCCGTCACACACCGAATCCATTTTCCCAGTCATACAGGGATCGTTATACAAGATTAATGAGTTTGACCTGTAGAGAATTTGTCAACAGTGTTCATCCGCGCTGCCGATCAAACAACAACCTCATCATCATCACCACCACCACCACCACTCTCCGTTCCCTCGCACCTCGGTGCGACTTCTCACCCGCCTACCCATTTCTGAGCTTTTTTTAGCCACCACCACCCGGTCTACTTCTGTGCTCGTTTGAGATGGACAAATACAGTGCAATTACACGTTCCGTTGCCGCATGGAACCGAAGCAGTATAAATCTATCCGACGACTGACTGTATTTGTGAATAGTTGTCAAAATGGGCGTATGCGGGTCTATCGAGAGGAACTTGGTGATAAGAGACTTTGACCGATATCCTGTCGTCGCCCATACGTCTGGAATTCCGATAAGTTGACCGGAGATAAGTGAGTCACGAAGCGCGCACTCTCGCCCAGATTGACGGAATAAATGAATTGCTGATACCACCCCGGGGTGGGAGTGGGAAGGGGCACATATCTCATCCTGATGCACACGAAGACAGTATGTTTCCCTGCTATAGATAGCCTGGCTCACTACTACGCCTGATTTATTGAAGTCTCATGTGGTAGTCCGCCACTCCAGGCTGCAGGATCATGGTTGCCGGTTTCCTTCTCAAAACACAAACATGACTGTATGAAATCAAATTTACAGTGTGCTATTTGTCCAAGGGGGATTTCCCCTTTTACTGTAACTCGCATTGTGTGTAATTTAGAGGAAAAAACGAACCGGGATATCTGTACGGTTGGTAAAAAAGGGAATCATACACCTTTTACCACTCAGAACTGTCCTTACAGCATATACAATGATTCACAATCAGATGGTTTGATTTTCGTGACCTCCATTCATATTCGGTATACGTAGCCGTGCCCCTGGTGGTGGTGGTTGTGGTGGTGGTAGTGGTGGTGGTGGTGGTAGTGGTGGTGGTGGTGATGGTGGTGGTGATGGTGATGGTGGTGGTTCTGGTCCATATAAGACCCCAACAAGGATGATGTTGAGGAATTCTTGTATAACCTAATCAACCTCGAAACAGAAATCGGATGTCCCGGATTCAGAACTTGGTTCAGTTTAATTCGGTTCCAGGATGTTGACGGCAGCGCGTCAGGACAGTTGGGTATGTCGGGGATGAGTGAGTCTGAAAACGCGGGATTGTCTGAGTCCGGGAGGACTGGAAACACTTCAAGACGAGGCACACGACACGGATCGTGCAGATTATCGGCATGATTCGGTAACAGGTACGGTTGGACCATCCGGACGCGCGAACAACGTGCGGCCTTCAGTGGATTGCGGCTTTCGTACGCCGCCCTGCTACTTTTCAGATCACGGTAGCTGAAGCCTCCAATCGGCAATCCCTCGCATCCCTTACGGATTTTTCCACCATGATTTATTAGGGGACACACAAACCAAACCAAACCAAACCGGGGTGAAAAAGGCCAATCAGTTGCCAGTAAATCGAGAGGTCAGTGTCACTCCCCCAACCAAAAAAACAGTTTCATTCAGCCCGTGATAATTTCTCGTTGCACTTTTCACCCTATCAAATGAAACCTAGGTGAGAATGGTGTGGATCAGTATTAATAATACCACCAGCCAATGAGCGTTGCTACAATTTTCTGACTGTGTCAATCTGTTAATAGGCAAGAACGCATTGAGACATGAATAAAACGTACTCCGATTTCCTGAACACATTGTATTGTGGCCTGTTGAACAGTATGAATGAATTCCAACAAGGTACCTTGGGATAGATCTGACATTTGGGTGCTGGTGTCGCAGTGTTTAGTCGCTGTCACCGGCGTGCTTCGGACCCTATGGTCCGAGGTTCGAGCCCCGCCACCGCCACTCAACTTTGGTGTCGCCCCGCGCTTAGGTTGCCGGTTTCCATCAGAGAACAGCAGATCGTGGTGGCTATGGGGCTTTCTCCGTCTGATGTTCATCACACACTGGTAGCGTAGCTATATACCACCACAATCGGATAGTTTCAGTGGGGTTTGGACCTCGGATCTTGGCATAGCAGGGCCTCAGTGACAGCTACTCAAATCGTTTTGTTAGGGATAACAATGATCAGCAGGTGAACAGACAATGTCATTGACCTTGACCTCTTAAGCTTTTACGATTGTCTCGTTTGCCATGTGGTGTACTGCGTGAAGCATTCGCACCGCTCATCTGACCACACGCACAGATTTGACGGTGTTTGTTCGACCTTTGGCTCTGAACAATGTGGGAACGCAACAGAATTGACCTGTGGAAACATTTTTCAAGGGTGAACTTCGCTTGGTTACTCCCAGCTATGCATCTGTGTAGTCCAGACTGATGTTGTCACGGCGATGGCACAGTGAGCGACAGTAACAGTGATGCGAGTTCAAATCATGTCGCAGCTCACTCGTATGGGATGGCACGTGACTGGTCGAATTCATTATCAACCCTACCATTACTGACAGGCCTAAGGTTTATTGATGTGCATTTCGTCCGTTAACCCCGTAAATCGTTTTGACACGATTACAGTCGACCCGTTCCAACTTACTGACTTGTGTTCGTCCGGAACCCAGGGGCTTGCCGGTACAACAATCTGGCGACGGGGGAGGGATGGTGCTAACATTCCAGTATTGCCACTAACTAAAAAATGATGAAAATGAGCTTTTCAGTTGTTCAGGTCGATACACCGCCTTATCCCATGTTGCTCGCCCCTCCCTTCAAAGTCTCGGAGCTCATGTTGTCAGTTCAGTTAAGTGCACGCTTGGAATCGAACCATTATGGCCCTCAGACAGGATTGAAACGGAGTTTCCCTATGCTTGAAAATACGAATTCTCAGAACTGTTTCCGATTCTGTCATACGTTTGTTTGTGTGATCAAATGCAGATCTAGTGGGCCCAATTGGTACCGACCTGGAAATCACAGCCCTGGAACTTGGAGAGGCCTCAGTGAGTTGGGTGTGGTAATGATCCGAACGACGATGCTCCATTGTGTTAGGTCAGTAAATAGATCAAGTAGCATAGTGTAGCTCGAGAGAGTTATCGATTATTTCTAACCTTCCTTTCATCGCATACCAAGGAGTGGTGGTGGTGGTGATCAAGCCGTCAATGGTATGCACTAAACTTTTAAGTTCGAGCTCCTTTACCATCGCCAAAATCTCGTGGTAGATAGTTACACTATTGCTCAGTTCAGTAATTACGCCTGCATTGTTGAGCTTTATGGGACTTAGCAGATCAAGATATGTACTAGGCACAAGGTCCTAGTAATATTGAGATTTACACCCCCCTAACACACACACACACACACACACACACACACACACACACTTTATTCCTACTGCTCACCACAGTGAGTTATGTAACGAGAAATTAAAGATGGACATGATTGGTTTGTGTCTGCAGAAAGATGTATAACACGTGCAGCAAATGCGCAAACCCACAACACATGTTCCCAATTCAAATTTGGACAGCCCAGATGAAATGATGTACTACTGGCACGACACGCCTACGAACAAGGTGGTCCAGTCTGCATCGGGGGGTTTACTGTGGTTCAGGGTGCCAGTTTTTGTGGAAATTCTCGAAAGAAATCAGATAGTTGTCTCCTGTAGGCTGTTCGGTACTTTAAATAGGTATTGTTCAGTGTCATACAGCGCTCAAACACCGCGATCGACATGCACTACATGTTGTTGTGATGAGAGCTCAAATCAAGCCGTAGCTTGATCGCATCGGATGTCACGTGACTGGTTGGCCTCACTGTCGACCTTACCAGTACTGACAAGCCTAATGTTTATTGATCCGTATTTCACCCATTGACCCTGTAAATCGTGTTACCATCAGCCCGTTCCAGTTCAGCGACTTGTATTCCTTACTAATCAGGGACCTACAGTTATAACAGTTGTGGTTGTTGAATACATTTTATCGGGAAGGGAAGCAAGAGACTAATGAGCGATATTATCATCATCATACCAAATTTGATCAACCTCAATTACAGAACTGTCTGTCTGCCATTACCCTTGTTTCTCAACCCCGATTTCTGCTAAACTGTAGACCTCTTAGGTCCACGGAATCTGAGCAGATTGGGGACAACCCCACTTGACAATATAGCATTGTGCAGTCCGCCCCTGTTCGTATCCTTCATTCGCCGTGTGTACTCACTTTTTTGACGTATTGAATTCCACAGTGCACAAGTGATTAGCACAGATCGGAAATGAATGCTCCCGCCGAACCCACGGTTACCTGTGATCCACAGGGGTGGCATCAAGCAGTTCTGTTGTGCGTACATGCATCGTAAACTAAAAGGACACGTCAGATGTGTAAAACTATAGATTACTGCATTTCGGCACCACCCCACCCCACCCCCGATGGATGACTCACCTTTTGCCGTTTCACCTGACTAGTGGCCGAGCATATCACATGACCGGCATGTGGCACAGGTGACCCACGTGCCAGATTGGTGTCAGTATAGGGCATAGGACAGGTGCCGATTGGAGTTTGGGCATGACCGGTGGCTGGCAGGGAATCGATGCAATTCCGGGGTGTGAGACATAGCGTGCACAACAGAGTGGTACAGTTCGTGCAGAACAGGTGACACGTCTGGCCCACGTGTTCCGAGCATTGTACTCCGCTCGCGGTTAGCTGACACAATTTAGTGAGCGTTTGTGAGGTCACATGTTGTGCTAGGGTTAATTTATGTCCGGCCAAAGTCCCGATCGGGGGATGCCATTTTGACTGGCATGAAGCACAATAGAGAAGCTGACACTGATCACAAAAAGACACTGCGTCGCCCGGAATTCGCTCCGGGCCGGCGGAACAAAGTTGACATTGGATACGGTTGTGTACACCGTTAGTTTGACACAGGACTCCTTTGGTCAATTTGTGTGAACGCATTTCTGCGGTTCTGTCCCCATTCCCAACTGTATCTGCCGTGGATTCCGTGAGTCGAACGATCAGTTTTTCCAGCGCGACATTTCTGGGCCACCAATTCTGTGCTAGGTCTATCGTATTTGTTGTGGCTGTTGCATTGATCACATCAATCGGTAGTCGAGGCACAGAAGCGCATACCGGACAAGGCTCCCGTCCGAACGAGTTCAAACCTGGTGATTGTGCCAAAGGAGCGGGTAACAATTGAGCGTTATTCAAACTTCCGTTGCTATCACCCCCACAACCGACAACCACACCAGAATCGGCTTCACTCACAGCATCTTCTGTGTAACTGCCAGTTCCAGAACTTGTACAACGCGCACTGTCTACAGGGGTGGTTTTCGCAGACCATCGCACAGTTTCGCGAGAGAACCACAATTTGTTTGCACAAGCTGTACACACAGAATGACCGCATGGTAACAGCAACGGTTGTTGAAAGGTCACTTGACACACTGGGCAATTCAGTTCCGCTTTAAGTTTTGTCAACAGCATGGTTTAGCCATTACTACGATAATCCAGACGTATGGCACTTCTAGGTGTTGTAAACTGAACGCACGACTAGTGCAACGCGTGGTTCGGTCACTTTATGACCGAGAGGCAATCGGATTGGTCCGCAAAACAGGAGTTTTGGTTGGTTGTAAAAAATGGACCAATAGGCTGCGTGGACAATGATGGTCCAACTGTGCAAGGACGCAGACGCAAGGGATATGTCGGACGGCGCGGGTAACCATCCGTGCACGATATTGCGTGCTATTTCTTCTAAATTCTTTGACATCTTTCCGGTGGATCATAAAAATTGAAAAATTATTTATTTGCAACATTTATTAGTTTACAGCAAGAAAGTGATATAAGTGAGAATAGATGGAGCGTAAAAGAGAACGTATCAGTGGATATGGTATCTTAAGACAAAGTAATATAAGAAATAACTTTGACCAGAATCAATTGACAACTGTGTAGATGAAAACTCTTCTGGGGTTTGATCTGTTTGGAAAACAGTTTCAGCAATTCAAATCGACCGGATTTCATTAAATCTTAATCGCGAATTTTATGCGCCGTGGTTGTTGTAGGTAATCATCACTTTGAGTTCGTACCGAACATTTGACCTTTTGTGGAGAATTTCAAATCCTGTAGGAACGGGCTAAACGTTTTGGTGTCGGCTGAGATGATGAGGTTTTCTACGGAGGAGCTGCGAAGATTCATGGTTGGTAAAATGCTGAGTTGAGTGCATATTATATGACATAATAATAAAATATAATATCACTCAAGTCAAATGAAGTGGCCAAATTTGCATGAGAGCAGTGAACGATCTGATTTAAGTATGAAAGAGATTTCGTTATGTATAGAGTAAAGGAAGCGTGAAATGAAAAGCTAGGAAGCACTGGCTAGCTGTTTCGACCTGGTTGGGTCTCATCCGCAATGTGATTCTATCTAATCTCGTAGAAAGCGAGTATTCTACCCACTCGGCCACCGGGTAGGTGATCAGACCGGCATTTTTGTCTGGTCATTGCATATCATCACCTCGGTTATCCACATCCAGGTAAGGAATTTGAATCACCGAACTCTTTGGAATAAAAGATACGACAACCAAAAACATCATCAGTGTAAAATATATAGTGGAAAGATGGATAGAGAAGGAGAAAATGCGTACATCAATTGATCAGTCAAGGTAAACTTGTTTTAACTCTTTGAACCAGTGAGATATGAGTACACATCTGGTAGGGAAGTACTGGATGTATGACTGCGGAAAATGTAAACTTCTGGTGAGTCGTTCATCACAGACAGTGTTTCCATTGAAGGATTTGCATAAATTAAAAGAGGCACTGTCATAGATGCTAATTTTTAATTTTTTAGAGGAAAGGGAAATATTCAATCAGTTTCTAAGATGAGAGATGTGATCAAGCAAAGGTTTGACATAGGTACAATGATATGGTTTAATGAGGTGGTGGTGGTGGTGGTGGTTGAGGAGGGAGAGGAATTCAAGCACATGACCCACGGGGTAATGTAATGCTGGCCTACACCACCGACATCCGCATAGGGGAGGGGGACGATAGAGGCAAAGTAGCGAAGCACGGTCACCATAGATACACAGATGTTCTGATTTAGACCACTTGGAACATTTCATCGAAGTCAACTGCATAATGGCCATTGTCATGGACAGGACGCTCAATTTGAGATACATCATCTCCGGGGTCTCTGATGTAAATGCCTGGTGTGGTAAACCATGACTAAAGGAATAGTTAATAAACGTTTCTCCAAGCAGTTATGCCTTGTTTGCTGAACTGTCGAACAAAACGGAATGCTGCTGCACATATGACACATATGACCCGGTTTAGTTTAGTCATCTGAAACTATTGTCCAACAACAGAATTGGGGACAAAACTGTTTTTAATACGCATTACATCTTTGGAATGTACAATCATTGAAAATCCTTCGGCAAATTAATTGTATTTTAATGAATTCCAGTTGTAAAATATATCTGGATTTGGATAAAACCTGATGGCGGTGGGTTTATGACTGCGGAGACTTTTCAGCACGCGATCAAATCGAGAGTGGCATTTGCCAATGACCGGCATTTTTGGTATCATCGCCGCATAATACTTTCATCGTACGATTTCGTAGACAGAGTAACTGTACCAACTCTATTACTGTACGGCTGGAAAGCTTATTCGCTCCCAAGAGATTCAATGACTTATTTGTTTTCGACATCTGTCGTCTTTGCTGCATCGATCGTGTCCGGCAGGAGCACCGCAGATGTAACGGTGAGGTCAGACGGCATGTGGTAGACAATGATTGTTTAAAGAGACCAATTTCATTGCATTGTCTGGTTTGCTGAAAGGCACGTCCTGTGAGTGCCCCATACCACATCTGTTCTACTGTGCAGGTGTCAGGGCCTCTTGAAAGAAAAAGTATGATGGGAAACTTATGGTAAGCCCAAGAGAGATGAAGCGATTGTGTTCAGTTCTGATTTTATTGGTATATCCTGGTTTCCAGTCTCAGATCCCAGACGATTTTTGATCGGAGACACCATGGGATCGAGCTTTGAATCAAAACCACTGCGTGTGTGTGTGACTCACTTTTTACCCCCCCCCAAAAGCAAGGTTGCTTTCTTTTTCAATCCACCTGTATCTGTAAAATATAGTTTACATGTGGGAATAAACAACCAATCAATATTAGTATCTAGTGCCTAAGCACAATCTAATGCGTCGATTATGTATATTGACCAATCGTTGAGCGCTTGTTGATCAAACCGCTTTTCTCGTTGTCTATGGAAACCCGAGATTCCGACATCACGACCGGAAATTCCACAGAGACAGCTCTGTTAAATATTAGACATATTCTGTTCGATTTTTTTTGCGTGAATCTCTACTCCAAGTTTCAGGGGTTAGACGAACGGTTCATGCAACCGGACAGGATCGAGTGAGTAGAATTAAACAAACAGCATGACTTTCATCTACCCACATTTACAATAGGGCTTGTCGATCACAAAAGTAATAAACTAACAGGCATGAATTAACGTCGAACTGATGGACTGTGTACACTGCCTGTATTAGCAGATGAACATATGAAATCGATCACTTCAGGAACATCGATGTTTCTGTTGGTCATTCTGGCAATATGTTTCACAAAAACCATATAAAACGCAAACAGACTTGCCCAAATTCAGTAAAACATAATAAAGGAGAAAATGTGACTTTTAAGCATCGGAAAAGTGCGAAGCAGCATATAAAAACCTAGCAAAACACAAACGGCCTCCGGATTACTCCGGCCCTTTCATCTCTTCTCAGTTGACTCGTAAATCTATCGGGCCTAATTAATCCGATCGTTCCAGTCAGTTTGGGCATGAATCGATAGTATAGGCAAGAGCAGATTGATTGCGCACATACACCGGTCTGTATGACGTCATCGAGCAACGTGAACAACGTGTAGTTCACAACGAAACCCCAGGTCGAAACGAAATCGGAGCCGATAGAACCGCATTACTATCACCCAAATCGTAAAATATGAATAATATGGCACATAGAACCTGTGGCTCCTTGGTGTCGCACAATTCAAGAGTATCAAATGACGGGGATTACAGACAATCCGATTCAGTTACGTTATTTAGTTGACTGCGGAAGACAATAAATAGCGATGGTGACCTGGTGGTAACGTCACCAACTTATCACCCCGGTGGACGTGTGTTCGAATCCCACCACCACACGAAAAAGAAAAGAAAAAAGGAAAATAGCTTTGTCTCAATTGTGAAAAGATCTGTAGCCTCAGTGGGATTTGAATGAACGCATTTGCGCTGCCTACAAAGTTGCCTCGTAGCTTAGCTGACGGAGTGTGCTCTTTATAAAAGTGTAGGTCCCGTCCTTGCGTGGGTTCGAATCCAACCGAGGCTACTGATCCTTTCACGATGCAAGCATAAAACAATTTGATATAGGTGAAAATAATTCAATCCTCCAGAAATATAAAAAAATACCTTTTTCATCTTGCAAATGAATAAACGGAAGTTCTACGCACATCTACAAGCCCAAAGGAATACATCTTCGCAACCTAATAGACCAGAATTCGATGCCCACACCACGATCAACAAATTAAACAACCGAAGCTCTCGTTTTCTATGAAATGAACAGACAGGGTCACTACTAGTCCTAATGGGCATATGCTAAGAAAAGGTTATATATATATATATAATTAAAATTATCACTGAAAGCGGAATAAATAAATAAAAGAACGGTATGGGAAAATTTCACTGTACCGAGTGGATCAACTGAACGAGGAGGAATGTTTTCGCAGTGATCCACAACAACCTTTCCCAGATCGGGGAATGAATCTTTTCCAACTAATGACCGACACGTTATTTCGGCTGCGGGGTTGCACCTGACTGACGGTGGTGTGAAATTCTACCGACCACAAAATGGACCTATCCTTCCCTTCGTCCCTCAGTCCCTCCCTTCCCCCCCCCCCGTGTCAGATGTGTTTTTTCATACGGAAGCAATTAGAAGAAGCAAAGGTGTGTGTGTGTGTTTGTGTGTGGAGGGGGTGTTTAAACAACAGAAGAAACAAACTTGTCATCATTATTCCTTGGAGAGTTTTTCAGGAGACACATCTGGTCCTTACCAGGTTGCAGTCCGTAAATAGGGTTGTGTAGCACAAACTGTTTCTCGTTCTCTCGCTCTCGCTCTCACGGTGGTCTGTAGTTAAGGCTCAATTTGGGACAGTCGAGAGGAGAATGATGTACCTAGCGTGCAAGGTTTTTAGAACAACCTTTTAGAAAACGATAAACATCGGGAAGAGTCTGGATTATCATATTAGTATATCGTTTACCGGTATGGTGATCACTTCACCTGAGTAAGTTACTTTTTCTTCTTCTGTTTCTAAGTGTTCTCGGTGGTGGTAATGAAATAAATTGATAACAAGATGGGGTCACATTAAGCTGTTCCAAATGATGGTTGTTTAGTAAATAACTATGGTGAA